ATATATATATATATATATATATATATATACATATATACATACACACCTAGTACTATACGGCTCCCGTCGGGGAGAGCCCCCCCCCCCATCAAGGAGAAAAGCACAAATTGTCGGGAAGAAGTAAAATCCTATGTATTTTACAATCTACAATCTACGAAATAATATTTTGAGGGAACGAAATAATATTTCGAGGGAACGCATTAGGCCGACTAGCCCTCCTTAAACTAACGTTAGAATACCGCACTTTCGGCGGTAAAGAACAATTAAAACCTCATAAAAAAGGCAACTAATCCGTTTACCCATAATTGAATCCAAGGACTTCAGTGTTAAACACTCAGTACTCAGTACTTATCCTTGATAATGTGTTAATCCAATTAATATAGTGAAATAACATAACATTAGTTTATCGAGGGCGGGTTGAGCTAATGGAAATAATATTTCGTTCGAACGAAATGTTATTTCGTTCCCTCAAAATATTTCGTTCCCTCGAAATAGTTAAATATTTTCTTTAACCATGTCCCTTTAGGGGCTCCGTACAAATGAGATTTTTTAAGAATAGCAACCTCTGGATGGATGGAAATGGTACTCTCAGACTGTGACAGACATGTGTTGGCTTGTTGTGGGCCTATTTTTTATGTTTTATGGTCTGACTGCCCAACGAGCTCTGTCCGGCGGGAGGGCTTGTACCAGTTCGGTGGGGGACTTAAAAAATGAGGCTAATACCCTATTCAGACTACACTCTCTTGCGATCGGTTGCGATGTAATCGGTGGTAATCCAAAACCGATTACTCCCGATCGCAATCAACGAACGCATTCAGACCAACACAAACTTTATATTCTAGGGCCTAAGCCTCCGGTGTCTAGGCCTATGTTGCCTGACCTCAGCCAAACAGTGCCTGTGGAATTCGTTGTGATTCGTTGCGATCAGATTCCGTGGTAATCGGGAGTAATAAAGATTGTAGCACCCAATCGCAACGGGTAACAATTGCGATATCGATTACATATCGACTACTATTGGTGAGCTTTCACACACGATTTTACTTTGTGATTGGGTGTCGCAATTGCTACAACCGATCGCAATGCGATGCTAGTCTGAATGGGGTATTAATAGCAGCAGCAGCAAGAATATCATCAACAATAATAATAATAATTATTATTCAATATTGAAAAGATTGGGGGAACAATATAAAAGCAGTAAAACATTTAAACTTTCAAATACAGACAAATGAGGCTAAACAATTTATGTCATATAAGTAAAATGCAATAATAATGATGTGCGAGGAATAGAGCCCAAAATGATTGTGAAATTTATAAACTGGTCCCCGCGCCCGCGATTTTGGACTATGCCGTTTTGGTACTTGTCATTGCCGTTTTGGTTTATGTCTATTACCGTTTTAATAGTTGACATTTTTGGTCTGTCAGTACTTATTTCCGTTTTGGTTTATTGCCATTTTGGTCATTGCCAATTGTTTTGTCCAGAAACCAACAGATGTTATGGTTGTAAAATAAAAAGAAAACAACTGATTACTGTTAGGCCTGGGTAGTCTAGGCTGGCTTTCTTTCAATAAATGAATATCATTCCAGGCTATGTCTAGGCCATGAGTGTATGTGTGTGTTCATTAAACCCCACTCAAAAGTGGTAAAACGCCTCACACAGCGCTGATAACTGAATTTTTATGGACAAATTTACCAGTAAAAATGTTTCAATTCAGAGAACACTGGTAATGTAGGGCTTAGTCCACCTGCCTAGGATTTATTGAAGCCGTGGCTAGACTAGTGGTATCGTACCATTTACAGTAAACTGTGAACCAAGCAAAGGCCAAATTTCTCACTATTTAAAAATTCTGAAGTCAGAATATAAGAAGGCTACTTAAGATTATTGCTACCCTTAAGATTTTTATTCTTTTTAAGTGTACAAATAAATGCAGTATAATCAATTTAATTTCTCCTACATTATTAAATGCTTCCACACTTCATAATTAAGTAAGCTTGCCTTAATTAAGAAAACTTATAATTAGGCCTATCCAAGAGAGTAGGTTTAGGATGTTATATTATTACAAAACAAGCCATATGATGGTGCCCCTGTACAGCGATACAACAGCACCAATCACTGGTAGTGTATCTCTTACCCACATTATGCCTGAAATCGATGTTTGCTTGTCCACCAACTGCCACATCGGTACACCAGTCTGCGGTGCTCACATTTTATGATTTTTATTTGACCGAACATAACATTAACACAGCTTTTGTGGTTAATGACTATGGTGGCGCCAGATTGAGGGTCCGCGATCCTCGATGGGGGATTGCGACGATGTCCCCGACAAAAAAAAAAAAAAACACAGTAAGTGGGCGTGGTCGGGCATCACTCAAGATCTCAAAAGTGTTCCAGGGACTTCGAAAAGTATGACAATTATGGGGTTTCAAAGGCTTATTTAATTGATTTTGGAGTATATTAATATGTAGACAATACTTTTTTTCCCTACTTGACGAATTCTTAGGTCCAAAAGGTGACCCCTGAGGCTATAACTGTATTTTGGTTTTTAAAAACCAAAATCTTATATTCATTTAGTTATACTGTATACTGTTGGATTAGAATTAACTAATAAAATTAGATACTTTTATGATTTTATATTTCTTCATTTTATAGATATGGCAACATTTTTTAAAGAAAAGGAACTGTTAAGAACATCTGGTGAGGTTGAGCCAGACACCGTTCTGGACGGCAAGATTGTAGGTGTTTACTTCTCAGCTGGTTGGTGCCCTCCGTGTCGACAGTTCACACCTATTCTAGCTGACGCCTATGAGGAGATCAGAAACAAGAAATACCCATTTGAGATTGTTTTTATCTCAAGCGACAAGAAAGTGGAACACATGGACCAGTATATAGCAGAGGACCATGGTGATTGGCTGCACTTGTCATTTGCAAATCCGTTCAATAAGTAAGAAAATGAGTACAGCCAAAATCTCCATTTTAGCTATTGATTGGGTCTGACCAGTGTTCATAAATGGGTAATGATTGTAAATCAAAATTTGAGGTAAATCTAAAATTTGAGGTAAATAGTACAGTGATTTAACTTTGAACTATGGATAGATTAGAGCTTAAACTAGTTATTATTAATATGTCAATATCACTGACTATACTACTAGAACCTACAGTAGATGCATCATTCATAGCCTATAGTTACAGCTTTCAAGTGTAAACAATGTGGCGTTATCACATGCTGCTACATGTGCTCTGTCCTCTGAAATTTTAGAATGAAATTCTGGTGTATTTCTGAAATTTGTAATTATTAAAATTTCGCCACAACTTACTATGAATATATACATAGTAAGTTGTGGCACATTGAAATTTTTCAATGATATCACTAGGATCCTGGTTGTAAAATAGAATAGCACTTTTAAATTATGAATATAAATTGAAAAATAAATATTTATTATTATTATTATTATTATTATTATTATTATTATTTATATCGGACAAAGTTTTTACAAACAACCAAAAAAATAATATACACTTGCCCAGTATTTCTTGAAATTTGTAATTATTAATTGCCACAACTTACTATGAATATATACATAGTAAGTTGTGGCACATTGAAATTTTTCAATGTTATCACTAGGATCCTGGTTGTAAAATAGAATAGCACTTTTAAATTATGAATATAAATTGAAAAATAAATATTTATTATTATTATTATTATTTATATCGGACAAAGTTTTTACAAACAACCAAAAAAAAATATACACTTGCCCAAATACTGTAATTCCTAGTACAGTAATAATTTGTAATCATATATTATGTAATTTATGTTTTATCTTATGTTTGTATTCCCTTAATTGGAAATTTTTATTTGAATCACAGGCCTTCTGTCCTCCTTTGACATATTTCTAGAAATAATTTATTGGTTTTTTTCTTCTTTGACTGAATATGAAAGTAAATCCAAAGATCTTGATATTCATATATTTTATCGCTTATTTTATGTATTTGTAAATGATAAATGATATGTTTATGTTGTCATTGCAGTGAACTGAGAGAATTGTTTAACGTAAGTGCTATTCCGAAGCTCATTATTCTAAAACCTTCCGGAGAAGTAATCACAAACCTCGGACGCAAGGAGATCCAGGATCGAGGAAGTTTGTGCGTTCGCAGTTGGCTTGAATCGGCAGGCATTGCTTTCAGGTAGAGATTCAAAAGCAGGTGAAGTCTGTGTCCACAATTAACGTAGAAACTCCTGGTACAGACTTCATGTTATTTTGAACAAATCTGTTACTTACCATTGTGAGTGGCCAATGATGCGATCCTAATACCCGGTCAAATTTTTTGCCCACACAGATATGACATCACCACACCCCATATAAAGTTTTTGTCGTCTAAAGATGACATGCTTAAATACCATTTCATCCCCACCATGGTTTAACCAACCATGTTGGGACCGACGTGGGTGTGAAAGTTTCATGCCTGTTCCCCATTATTTTGAAATAGTTATGCAACTAGTGAATTTTACAAGCCCAACAAGTTCATGATAAAAATAGTTCGATTTTACAAATTTAGGACAAAAATATTGTCTGACTCATCGCTAGTCGGTGGGCTAAATACAGGTAAATATCTGAAATGTTTATGGGACCCACTCCTGAAAGTTTGCATAACGTTGCGTTACAGGACAGTGTAACACTACCAGTAGTTATAATTAAATATACTGTACAAACTGTGAGAGTAAGACAGATGAGTGTGTTATTATCCAGGCTCCATGTTTAAAATATGGCTTCGGTGAATTAGTCTTATCTAACATCGTTTTCAAAATAAAAATACTTGGAATACATACAGGTAATGGGGTAATTGAATAATATTCTACTCATTATATGCTTTCTGTCTCAGTGACTAATAATATACAAATATTGACTGCCCATGAGGGGAATGATGAAATCTATTGGCCTTCGGTGATGTGGAGACCGTAGCCTATCTTCCCAATAGATAGGCTATGGTCTCCACATCACCGAGGGGCAATAGATTTCACTGTTCCCTGAATCTAGAGCAGTCAATATTTGTTTTATATACCTCATACATAGATTCTATGAGGCCTAAAAAAGTACTTACTTCCTGGCCTAGAGGCCTAGCCTGCCACTACTAGGCGATCAAAGAGTTTCAACAGCACCCATCGTCTTGCAATATTTCTAATTTGTTGAATATTGACCAGACATATTTAATTTGTCTTTTGATGCTTTTGCTATCGGCTTTATCAAGAAGAAATGCTAGGCCTAGGTTAGTCCTCCTTCACCCAAGAGCTCGAACCGACCAGCCTCCATATTTGTTTAAATATAAGTACTAAAAAAGTAATATTTTTCAGGGGGAAAAATACTTTTCCAGGGGGATACTACTTTCTATTGCCTGCTTCTTAACCAATCAATGCCTAGAATCTATGTATGAGGTATATAATATTTAATATATAGAATTATTATATAGTATCCTAATCTGATCAACATTGACTTTCAACATAACATTTGCGATAATGTACTGGGTCTTTAAGCTGAAGGTATGAAATATTTAAAGAGAAAGTACAAAATGCACCATCTTTTAAAAATATAAATCGGAATTGTCTTCTGGCTTCTTTAACTGATTACTTGTCAGTATTTACCATAGATATTTACTCTATATTAATTCTCTGCAATAGACGTTATCGCATATAGATTATTATTCTTTTTTCTGTATCTGTTATTTGTTAAGTGTATTATTTAAGGAATATTCATTTATGAATTGTTTGGTTTTGATGACCCCCTTCATAAATAAATTCCAGTAGGGATTTAGAAGTTTATCCTTTTTCTCCTTAAAACAGTAGACTGACATTTTATTGTTTGTGTTAGGTCTATTTCTGTGTATCTGTACTTGTTTCTTGACATACAAACACCAATATGCTGGTTGTCGTGTACGTGTAATTAAATAATTGATATTGTAATTTAGAGATATACTGTAACTATCCAATTAAAGTCAAAATATATCAGACTAACAGACTAATCCACACCACCTCCACAGAGGCTGGCCTTAAATAGCCTTTTAGAGTAAATAGTAAAAAGTCAGTAATGATTTACTATGGGGCTGCAGGCCTGTTCGTAGGATTTTTATTCAGTGAGTGCGAATTTGTAGAGAGTGGACCAAAATGGCTAGATAATGCATAGGAAGCAGAGCCCTGCTTGGATTGAGAGAGGAACTCAGATATTTTTGAGGTCTTATTTAATTGATTTCTGAAGATGCAATATGAACAGTATTTTTGTTTTCAGTGGCAGATCATAGAGTTTGAAATTGCACTCTCAGACTTAAAATTTGAATATTTAACAAAATTCAGCGGAGACGGGGAATTCAAAATAGAAAGTGGGGCGCCAGGGAAGTGCTTTTACATATTAAGGGTGTATAACACCTCAGTTCCACCATGGTTGGGGCTGAGGTGAGGAAATTTATTTAGCAGGGTGTTTATAAATTATTGAATAATAGTGAGACCCATTGCTGTAGTTTTTGTTTTAGAGACACCAAAATAATATACAATAATAATACAATACTGTATATCAACAATTTTTAATATTTGAAATATTATTTTCCACAGAGAATAGCACAAAAACAACAAGCATTTGTTCATAACAAAGGATAAAATAAAATGTTATTGTTGAATGTAAACAGTGTAGTATATGGGATGGTTAAATGATATAAATTTATATAAATAAATAGGAAGAAATATAAATATCTTATTTTTTGGAGATTTCAAGGGAGCGGTGGCCATAATAAAAATAAATACATAATTTTTTTCCCTGAAATTTCTAGTTTATTCGTGATGGCGGGTGAAATAATTGGCTCCAACACCTTTCAGCAGATGGCACTCCTTGACGCATACCCTATATAAAATAAAAATTGCATGAGTAACTAAAAAAGCTATACAAAAAACTTTCATATAAACTTAAATGATTAATTCAAGAACATGCAACGCAATAGGTGGAATATACTAAGATGGCCAAACTAACAAAATGAGCAATCTCCACTCAAAAATATTTGTATTTCACTTTGTTATTATAAGTCCAGTAGTTTAATTGAACTTCTTGTGTATGATGTACCAGTTATCTCATATAATCATCAAGTCGCTGTTATTAATTGAATTAATTGACTGGAACAGTCATGGCTGGTCACCAACGAGCAGGTTACAGCATGACCCTCCCATTCTTTTTCTTTCTTTCTTTCTTTTATTGTTTATCCTCGGGGACTGTTTAGGGATAAAATCCCTTATACTCCTGGGTGAAGAGAGGCAAACTTAAGTATTGTGTCTTGCCCAAGCGCACAAGCAATGTGACAAGCATCGGTCTCAAACTCCTAATCTTGCGATCAGAAGTCCAACACCTTGCACACTGCGCCATACGCTCCTACGACATAATTATAAATTGGCAATCCTGTACACAACCCTGTATATGGTCGTACTCAGGATTACTGTACCATTGGGGGGGGGGGGGTGCATGGTGTGCAAATATGGACCTAACTGCGGTATATGGGTCCACAACTAGAAAGAAAGCATGATCCAACCCATTTAATTGGGTACCACAGTATGTTGCTCCTACCCTCTAAATACGGTACCTGATGATGGGCTAGTAATAATAACAATTAGGTTGCCTGATAAAAGGTTCTACAATTTCTCTTTACCTAGTAGAACATTAAGAACATCAGTAGGCCTAATGTTAAAACCATCACTTGCAAAAATTGATTGTGTGGAATAATGCCTGCATGGACTAGGCACAGCACCAGCAGATAGCACCTAAAAAACACAAGAAGCATAAAAAAAAGAATGTATTTTTCTACTGAAAATTAAATAAATGTGCCAATTTTGACTTCAAAATTATGAAAAACCTATTGTTATCTATTAACACCTAAATTCATCACCAAGCCTTCTTAGTAGACAATATTTGCCTTGTAAGGTTTCTAGTTCTGGAATGAATTCTGTATTAATCAGTCTTAAGCAGGTAGTTGTAACCATTGCTGTAAAACAGTCTTTCCTAGACTGTACACAAACATTAGAATACAACTGTGCTTTTGGATGACTGAGCATTTTTGTTGTGCATTAAAAATGTTGCCACAAACGTTCACACATACGCGTTTACAATTTCCAGTTTCTTATTGGCCAGTGATTCGATTATCATATTTTTGGTATCCGGATCGGAATTTTCTCGTATGGACGCATGGCAGCTAACGGTTAAAAGGATCTGGATCCTGCTAACCATTAGCAGCCGTGTGAGAACATAGCCAAAGATTTGTTGTTTAACATCTTAAGGACGAAGATGTGATTAGACATCAAACATTACAGTACTTACATAATAAATAGCCAAATGTAGTAAAGGCAAATAAGTACATTCCAATCCCTCCATCCTCCATTCCTCCTTCCACCACCACCACCATTCCTCCTTCCACCACCACCACCAGCTCCACAGTCACCGATAAAACCAGCTACACTGCCACCAACTTCGCCAATTACCAGCTCTGCATCGCCTCTATCCTCAGCTTCAATACCGTACTAGATAACAATAAGCATGTCATTTAATTTGAGCTTTCCGAAATCAAATCAATCCAATCAAATCCAACATTATAGAAAAAAAAATGGAAATACATGTTCCTCTACACCAAGGATAACCCATGAAAGTCTGTAGTTTTCTAGTGGGGTCTTTCTGGTGCTGATTAGCAGTACACCAGGAGGCAAACCTTTTTATGGTAGCGTATTGCAGACTCGTAACCAGGTTTATGGGAGTTTACTATAGAAGTCAGGGGAGGATTTAGGATGGCCGGGCCAGCCACGGGGGGGTGGGGGCCTCCTTTTTCAGGTGTCTAGAAAACAAAATTCCTCTAGAGTAGTGTTGTCTCGATCGCGCCCACCCTCTTTTTTCCTCTTCCCCCCCCCCTTTTCGAATATCTCTGGTATCTTTAATAAGAAAGTTATTACTACTAGTCTAGTAAACTACTGTAGTTAAAAACAGGAGTTTGCCTGAACCAAAACATATGACGTATTTTTTTTTCTTACTCTTGTGGATGGATTTGAGATTATAGGTAAAAATATAGTTAAACATTTTAAGGAAAGTTTTGTTTAAAAGATAATGTTATTTACTTTAAGATCCACAAAGGTATTAATACTATATTAGGCCTATACATATGATTTTTTTATGTATTTTTAATTTTTACTTACTGGTACATATTCCTGTACTTCATTAGTACAAAAGAGATAAGGCCTACTCTTTGTCGTTTCTATAAATAAGAAAACAATACATCTGTTTACATGTACACACAGTGTATATCATACTTTGTAAGAATCTTTGTGCATAAACCTACAAGTTCAAAAATCATGTGAATGTAAAAGATGACTACAGATGCCAGAAGGTTGGAGTATAAAGGGTAGACGGGTGGGGAGGAAGGAGTAGGTAGGGGAGTGGATGTCATAATCATGGGAAAACGATAGAATCGTAGTAGTAAAAACTATTTTGTCGTTTTCCCATGATTATCACACCATTTGATTTGTGAAATTATTTTTTTATCGTATACACAATAAATCGTTATCAAATCGTGCTAGTGTGAAAACTTCTCATATTTCTTTCACTTTCTATATGTAAAATGGCTTTTTAGCTTTTTATTGTTACCATAGTGTAATGTCAGCCCATTGATTCGGACCCCCTATCGGACATGTAGACCCCGTCGGCAAATTTCTGGAGCCACCACTGGCACGTGTGTATTCTGCATACTGCATTTATTTATTTCCTTTAGGTGTACATTATCTCAGTAAAAATTTTCACTGCTTTTGATTGCCTTTTGGCAAAATGTGATTCATGGTTTTTGAGTCGGGAAACTTGCAATATAAACGCAAAAAAGATTTGTTGTGTTATGGCGTGACGAAGAAAATAATTAATGGTGAGCTTGATGTGAGTTTTCTTTTCAGTTAGGCTAGCTCAGGCCAAAAAAAAATATATACAGTCCATGTTTAGCGTCAGCCTCTGATTTTATTTTTATATGCTGTTGTTTTTTTTTTTTTTAATGCACAAATATGTTTTTGTATACATTATAATACTGTATTTGTTTTTCTAATTTAGTTAAGGTCTTCTTCCATATGAAAGAGGGTAGTAATGCAGGCAAAACTAAACAAGTTTGCTTCATTTGGTCGCACTGCTTAGTGTAGTAGAGCAAGATTTAATGAGTGAAAATGAAGTGATGCATTGATTATTGAATAAATATTGTGTTGTCCGATTATTAGGCCTACTGCTTGATGCCTGTGGGTATATAGACTGACAAAATTAACTTTACATGGAACATACAGTATGTTTAATACATGAATCCAAACGAAAAATGCTTTTGGAAGTTTGATGTCTGCATTGTAATTTACAGATAGAGGAGCCTAAATCCTAGACTCAGTGGTGATGAAAACCTAACAATTAGAAAAGCTTATGTGAAGAAAGGTCAGACTGCAGCATAGATAATAAAGAATGGTCAGACTATAACCTATATTGGGAGCTTAGGCTACCCTCTGCTCAGTGGCTTGCACCTCGTTTGAGCCTTTCGGCCCGCTAAGGGCAATACCCAATAATATTTCGTCAGCCTAGCCTCTTTGTGTAAAGGCATACGCTGCATTTGCAGTGCTATTTATCATCTATTATTGTAGAATAGTTACATTATTTAATGCAGAGATGGTACTTACCTGTACCTGTATTAATGATTTCCTGAAATTTTAGGTAAATAAAACGCATTGTTGAATAAGTAGTAATAATATTTTTGTATAAGTTGAAAGGATTCGATGAAGCGCTGAAACAAACGTTTATTCACTCATCATTCACACTTGTTGGTGGCGCTCTACATTTCTTTCTGATGTTTATCAGAGATGCTTTGGGTCGTCAACGTTAGTTAGTCAGCAAGCAGTCTGTCCTCCTATTTGGTAATGTAATTACTCTTGGTCGAACCCTGTATGCAACACTCTAAAGCCATCTTTAGTAAGCTTGACTGGATTTACTGAATATGATCAACAGTTTACATTTCAATTGCTAAGGCATACTAGTTGTGGAATGAAACAACTTTTGATGAATTAAAATCATTAAATTTAGCTCTTTACCCTAGTGCTAAATAATCTGTACTTCATGATCTTGAATTTGTGTTTGAGTTTTCACTAGTTAAAATTATTAATATTACTATATTATTACCTGTATGCCTGGAATTCATAGGGATAGCTCTCTTGTAGCTTTTTGTGGTCACTTTTTATCATTTTTTAGGGAGTGTTTAGAGATACAATCATGGGGGCATAGAAAAGTTGGAACCTTTTTGAAGGAATAAAACTATTTTATCCACCATCTGACCTCATCCCCAGTATGTCTTAAGGATGGAAACCAACAAATGATAATGTACCCTTCTTTGTTAGATTGATTCTTTAGTTCACTCAAGCCTGTCCAAAATTTGTATCGAGGTAGGGGTGCATGATGATTAAAGTCAGTTTTTTAGCTGTGATCCTGGTCCGGGAGAGTGCAATCCCCTGTAAGCTCCAGCAATGTACGTATTTTTGTGCAACTTAAACTGTAATTTCACAATACAGAGTTACAGCAGGGAGATGTAAAAAATAATTATTTTAATTATTATTAATATTATTTAATTAAATTATTTTTTACATCTTCCTGGTTACAGGTTCCAACCTTAGCTTAAAATGTAGAGCCTGATTGGTACATACTATAGGGCTGCCAGCAGGGTCCAGAGAATAATAAGCCACAAACTCATCAGCTAAAGCCCAAATCAGACAGCGTTGTACGACACAGCCTAATGCGATTTGTGAGAGTTAAAGCCCCATTCCCAGCAAAATTTCAATTTTTAAGAAAAATCTAATTTTTGTATAATGTTATAAAGATTTATAAATATAATACGGAATTGCTAGTTTAACTGAATTTAGACATTCCTAAGAATGAAGAAAATGTAAAATAAGACTGAAATTTGATTTTTTTTGTGTTCCACACAAAAAATAAATGCGGATGAATTTTTCATGTTGATTTTGCGATAGGTCGTGAGAAGAAATATCGTAGGCGCCGAAAACATTAGCCTATCCAACGCCTGTCTCTTATAC